AAAAAAAAAAAAAAAAGTGAGGCAGAGATGGATAGTGTGTATTATATATCTTGCTAACTTATCCATTTTGTTACATTGGTTTATCTACAGCTTCACAAAGTCGTGTGTTAGACAAAATTTAGATGGTTGATTTTGAAAATAATTATAATAAAAAGAGTATATTGATATTTCGAAAGTTTATTTTTGATAACTCAATCTGAAATTATTCTGATGATTCGAAAGTTTATTTTTTATAACTCGGTCCGTTAATCATTCGATGATTCGAAAGTTTTTTTTTTTTGATAACTTGGATGTGTTAATCATTATGAGAGCAGCCCCCAATGGTCCAAATGATGGGTATGTATGTTGGTTGTAACAAGAATATTAAGATTACATGTTCTTACATTTGAATATTTGATGTTTTTGGTTCTTACAATCAACATATTATCGATGTAGTGCATTTTTTGTGGTTCTATACTTCTATTGTTATGTTCATGTATATGTTTATTATCGATATTCTCGGTTTTAAATTGATATATATACTTGGTTTTGTATTAGGAATGGAGAGTCAAAGTGTGAGTTCGAATAATCCGACTCTAAGCAGCAATGCCAATGACGGAGATAATCAAACTCAAGAAATCTCGAGAAACACGAATGTTTCACAAAAAACCAATACCAAAAAGAGAAAGGAGAGGAGCATTGCTTGGGATCATTGTGTAAAGAACATTGTCCAGGATGAGGAAGGAAATAAGGAGACGTTTGCTATTTGCAAACACTGTGAATTACAAATGCCGGCCGATACGAAAAGGAATGGAACGAGAGGCCTACTCAATCATTTATATTATAGGTGTGAGAGTTCTCCTCTTCGTGTTGTGATGGACAAGAGCCAACCCACACTAACTCAGTCGATGATGGGAGGCGAAGTAAAAATTTCCGACTTCAACCAAAAAAGACTCGACAAGATGTGTGTGAAGTGGATTATAAAAGCGGAGATGCCTTTTCGAACCGTCGAACAACCGGACTTCAAAGAATTTATTCATGATCTTCAACCTCGCTATAAGATTTCAAATCGGAGGAAGATTGCGAAGGATGTTTGGAGTTTGTTTTGCGAGGAAAAAGAAAAGATCAAAAGCATCATTGGCGATCTTCGTGTGAGTATCACCACCGATACTTGGACCTCTATCCAAAATATCAATTACATGGTGGTGACGGCTCATTTTATTGACTCGGATTTCACCTTACACAAGAGGGTGCTCAATTTTTGTAAAATTACTTCTCATAAGGGTGAAGACATAGGAAGGTGTCTCGAAGAGAAGTTGGTCGAATGGGGCATAAGTAAGGTGTTCACCATTACCGTAGATAATGCAAGTTCCAATGATGTGGCCGTGGAGTATTTGAAGAAGCAACTACGGAAGCATGATAGTCTTATGCTTGATGAAAGCTTGCATATGAGGTGTGCTTGTCACATTATTAACTTGATTGTGAAGGATGGGATGAAAGAGCTAGTAGATTCCATTGAAGCCATCCGAAATTGTGTGAAGTATATTCACTCTTCTAGTGCGAGGTTGGATAAGTTTCGGGAGTATGCCGTCTTAGAGAAGAAGGACAAAATGTCAACTATCCCGATGGATGTTGTGACTCGGTGGAATGCCACGTACATCATGCTTCATGGTGCATACAAGTTTAAAGGTGTATTTGCAAGCTTGGTGGAAGAATTTACGCCTTTTAAATCATACTTTGAAGAGGGAAGAGTGGGGCCTCCGAGTGATGAAGATTGGGAAAAAGCAATGGGATTTGCACATTTCCTCAAAAAGTTCTATGATGCCACCGTCAAGCTTAGTGCCACTAAGACTCCGACCTCGCATATTGTTCTAAAAATCTTGATAAACTTGAAGATTGAGATTGAGGCTAGAATTAGAGATAAGAAAAATGTTGTGTTGTAAAATGTGGCTACTTCTATGAAGAGGAAGTTTGATAAATATTGGGGTTCTTTCGAAGATATGAACATGTTAATGTTTGTAGCCCAAACCCTTGATCCACGATATAAGTTTCAATTGATGGAGTTGCAATTAGGGGAGCTTGGCTACACTCTTGATGAAGTTGAGCCCCTCAAGAGTCGGGTGAAAACACATTTGTACCTTATGTATGAAACTTATAAGGGAACGGAAAAGCCACATGTGAATGTGCATGAGGATGGGGATGATGGTGTTGATCTTGGTGATGATGATGATATTGATGATGATGATGTGGAATTGAGGATAGAGCGGAGACTTAATAGGCAAAGAAAGGAAGCAAAACTCAAAGAGATAGCTAATGAAGTTGACAAGTACTTTAATGATGCTTATGAAAGTACAAAGAATGATGATTTCGACTTATTGGGGTGGTGGAAAAGTAAAATCTCAAGCTACTCTATTCTTTCCAAGGTTGCTAAGGATGTACTTGCTTTTCCTAGTTCGACCGTTGCTAGTGAAAATGCCTTTAGCCTTGGAGGAAGGATTGTGGATCCGTTTAGAGCTTCTTTGACATCTAGGATGGTCGAGGCCTTAGTTTGCACAAATGATTGGCTTAGAGGAGAGGAATTTCAATTTTACAAGGAGACTACGGAAGAAGATCTTGAGTTCTACATGGAACTCGAACAATTGGAACAAAGTAAGTAACTATTTTATTGATATTTAAATATTTAATATTTTGCTATTCATATTGTGCATAAAATATTTTTTGTTTATTGACTTATTTGTAATATTTTGTAGGTATTCCCAATACAAATGAAATGCCACCACCTCCATCTAAAACTAAAAGTGCAAATCCACCCGAGTCCGGAGTTAATAAATTATCATCCCATCCATCTCGAGGGGGGAAAGGGGGAAGGGGTCGATCAAATCGTGGTGGACGTGGAGGTGGTGCTACATCATCGAGCAAATTAATTGATGAGGTTCTTGTAATTTAATTTTATTATAATTGGTGTTCTTTCTTTTAAAATATAATAATAATATTTTTTTGTCATCTTAATGCATAAACTTTTTCTTATGCAGGAGTAGACGAGACGAGTAGTGGACGAATGCTTTGAGTTGTGATTTATAAAAATTGATTTCAATATGGTGTGATGTGTATTGTGTTGTGCTGCGAATTGTAATTGGATATTTGGATTTGGAAGTTAGAACTTGGTAGTTTGGAACTATTGATAAGCTTGTTGTGTTATGATTTGTCTATTTTGTGTTGTTATTCTCATGCCTCTGTTCATGGCTCTGTTTGAAATAAAAAAAGAAAAAAAACCCTCTTATTTATGCTTTGTTTGTGACTTTGTGCCTCTGTTTCTGGCACTTTTTGGGAGAGGGAAGCTCAAGGTGAGCCTCTGTTCATGCCTTTTTTTTTCATGCTTGGGAGAGGGAACATTGTTCATGCCTTTCCTGGCACTTGGGATTTTTTTTTTCATGCCTTTTTGGATTTTCATGCCTCTGTTGTATTACTGTTAACTGATTTTTTTTTCCTTGTTTCATTTCGGTTTTTTTCGGATTTGGTCGGTATAAACCGAAACCGAACAGATAGTTCGGTAACCGAAAATCGGTTACCGAACTCTTATCGGTTCGGTTTCGGTTTGCATATTAGTCAAACCGAATGTGGTCGGTTCGGTATCGGTATTAGGTTATCGGTTCGGTTACCGAACCGATACCAGCCCTACTACTGAGTGCTGATCTTAGTGCACTTGGCAATACTTGCTCATGATAGGATATTCGGACGATGAAGAAGTAAATATCCAGGGCGACGGAGAAAACGAGATTATAACCGAAGATGTATTAAGTTTGCAAACTTTGGCAGGAGTGAACATCCCTCAGGTCGCTCCAGATGTATGATCTGAAAAGTAAAACATCGATTCGATGATGTTGAAAATTACACTCATGAAGTACTTACACTGCAAGGATAATCGAATCACTTTTTATCAAAAGTCATCGACGATTAATCAGATGATGATGTGGACTAGTCACGATCAAATGGTAGCTCACCAAGTGAAAGAATAAAAACCCAGAGCTTGAAATCAAGTACAAATAAGGTATAAAGAATATTAGGGTATAAAGGATAGTAATTTTAAATATAAATATTATGGTATAAAGAATAATAATTAATATATGTGAAAACACCAAAATAGTAAACGATACGAGTCGCTCGTAACCTTCAGCTCATTAAAGTTTCGACTCGGCTAGTTTTATAAATGAGTCATACTCGAGCTCGATCTCGTTTAAAACCCAATTAGTTAATACTCTAGAAAAGGATTTTGACATAATTTTTTGAATTTCGACTTAGCTAGGCTCGTTCCGACTTGAATTCACAACGAGTCGAGTTCGAGCTCATTTAACTAATGAGTCGAATTTTATTTGCCTAGGAAGAGATTTGACAAAATACTTGACGAGTATCCTGAGAAATCCGCACGTACCATACATGGTTGGTAGTGTGCTATACAACCAACCTCCACCAACATATGCTATACTACCAACCTCCACCACGTGGGAAAAATATGGAAAGGCTATTTATCTCTAAAAATTGGGGAAAAAAGAAGAAAACAAAAAAAAATGGAATATAACCGTGGAGACAATAGTTTGTTTTTAACAATGTCAAAACTGGCTATACAATATTTCTGCTACTCATAGAATGTTGCCACTCACATTCCACTTATGCCCCCACCAATGCAACTATTTGCTAACGACATTCACAGCTTTGCAATCCGAAGCCTAGAAAAAATAACAAATGTATCATCAATATGGTGACGTAACATATTTTAACAGTCAATTAGGCGATTGGCAAATCAAAATTGAGAAGTTTAATGCTCAGTTGAAATATCTATCTGTTTCTCGACTCAAAGGTCTAAAGGGTGATTATATAGTATATACTGATGAAAATGCTCATAGAAGAATACACCGCTAAACAAATTTCCTGATGAAAATGAAGTCCGTATTTGTGGTTTTACACCCATGCGCTACGAGGTATCATCTGTATAAGTTGATTAACCAAAATATATCAGTGAGAGGAACAAGAGAGCTTACTCATTAATGAGGGATCTGAAGAAGAATGAATGAAGTAAAATACAAGCAGACACAGATTGCAACTCCAGCAATAAAATTGTGCAACAGCTTCTGGTTGTCTCTTGTCGGGATGAAAGCCAATTTCAGCGTGTTTGTCAGCTCAAAAATTCGATATGATATCTGCAATCAGGAGAGAGAGAGAGAGAGAGAGAGAGAGAGAGAGAGAGAGAGAGGTAACTAATTGAAATTCAAGGCCGACAAGTAGAATCAAGTGTTGATCATCCGTAATTAAATTCCGCACGACAATTACTCACCAAGATGTAAATGGCTGTCGTGAGCATGAAGTTAAGCAAAGGATACTCTGGAATGAAACAGAGCAACCACTTAGGCTGTCCATTGGGCATATTTGATCTGTGCCCACGACCATAGAATGTTAGAGGGTATTACGACACAAATTCATGTAACTACTAGTCAGTAAAAAACATGGACTGGCAAGAATTAGCTGACCGACCTCAGCCATATGTGGAACTGGGAAATATAGGTTTCCAGAGTAACTTTGCCCAACCACCTGTTGTACAAAGAGTGTTTGCATGGTTAAACCGCCATTCTCTAATAACCTCATAAGAAAGGATAATAATTCCGAAAGGATAATAATTCCAACTGCAAATGCTTTAGGTGACAAAAATAAACAGAAAACTTACGCAAAGAGGGTCAATGAAAAATTCCGAAGTTCCTGACTGGAGTTACGCAAGCAAATATAGACGCTGAAAAAGATATAAAGAGAAGAACGTAAGAAAGAAAACCGATACTGGTAAGACGAGAACAAGGTAGAAGCAAGTATGCTTGGTTTTCTGTTGGTATAGTACTCTTGCCAAAAGAGGAAAGCAGTTTCATTAAAGAAAATAAAATAGATCAATACAAAGATATAGAAAATAGAAAGAAAAAATCAATACGTGATGGGGATCCACGATGTGTAAGGATGGAGCTTGTTGTAAGAAACTTTGTCCAGCTTGTATATGCATTCATACCACAAATACCCAACCTAAAGCCAGAAAAAAAAAAAAAAAAAGTCAAACTATCTCTCTTATCAAACGAATTATTTGAATGCAAAATCAATAACCACTAATCATCTGGATAGATAACTATCTAAATTATGTAACTCACAACTAAAGAGATTGCGACAATGGAAGCTTTTATTGTGCGCCTCCTCTTGGCCTCAGCTTCTTCCAGTTTCTCCATCCACTTTTCAACCTGCAATGATAAAACCAAATGAGATCATAAGTTCATGAAAAGAGATGCATAAAAACCAGCTCCAATTACAGACATTACATTTGGGTGAAAGTAAGCATAGATCATTCCAACAATCCATATGTATCGGTCAAGTCCGGATCTGAAATGCCATTCATGCAGCCTCGGAAGATCCGGTTTTGCTGGGTCGTCGTATCCTGTCATTAAGTTAAATAATCATCAAGATTTAAGTTTCTTAACAATGATGTAATAATAAGCAGATAATATTGCTTCATAGAAACGAATGAGTTATGGATATGGATGGCCACGCACCTAACAAGAAAGTGAGAGGACTCCACAAAATTTCAAAAACACCTGGAATTTCCCACACCAATATAACAACGACAAAGCACATAACGATTTTCAGAGCCATCACCGCTTTTATCTCATTGTAGTTGTAACCTATACCAAGGGCTCCATAGACCATGAGTGTAAAGAGGGTGTGCATAGGGCAGATGTAATATAGCATGTAGTCGTTGTTGAGAACAATACAACAGAATGCCACGAAAAAGTTCAGCCTCCACATCATCTGAATAGAGAATACAAATGTAACTTAGTATGCTACTAATGAACCAAAAGCAGTAGAAGTAGATGCTACTTCACCAACCAAGTTGAAAACTGAAAATTAACTCATGTTTGTAAGGTCACCTGAGCAAATCGAGCGAGACTGAAGTCTTTTCGGATGTAATAGTATGAAAAGTTTCCAAAACCAGTCATCCACACATATGCAGCTATAAAAACACGAATTGCATTGTAGATCTCCGATGCGGCAAAGTAATGGTACATCAAAAACAGGACCTGTCAAATACAAAAGAGAAAAGAATCGCTTCAGGAACTTCCAAGGAACAAAGTGGGCACAGAAATTAAATAACTTTTGTCAATTTTATAGTTTGGCTGAAAATAAATCCAGAGGCTGGAAACGTGAAGGCCAAACCATGAAGATATAAATCACATGAGAAGAATCATTAATCAAATAACCAAATTACTTGCCTGCATATATCCTTTCCACTCTTCAGTCTGATGGCGGTTCAGATAAAGGACAGATTTCCCCGAAAATGCAGACTTGTCATTATGTTTCTTGAAAGAAGTCATTGCTGAAACAATGATAAGGAGAATGTACAGGAAAACGAATAGATCGCGGTTGTAGTTCTGCCCAACAAGGAAAATAAAAACAGATTAATATAATCAGAGAAACAGAGCAATCTAGTACAATGAAGCAGTAGCAGATGGCTACGAACGACGCAAAGATATACAGATTATTTTAATCAAGAGATCAAACAAAAAAGTTGATGCGTCTTGCGTATCAAGATTTAGGCAAGACTCATAACAAGCAGCATAACTAACAGAAGAAATTAATTTTGCAAAGTAATTAAAACAACTACTCCATGTTCCATGTTCATCTCCTTGTCAACTGGAATGAAAATACATGAATACTTCATGAACAAACATACCAATATCAAATGTAACGCATGGATTGCTTATTGAGATTTGTTTATCGAGAAAATCAAAACAAAAGAGTTTGTAGTCTTTGTCTAACTAAATAGAAGAGAAGAAACAAACAAATCAATTTTCTAGAAACAGATAAACGAAGCACCTTGTGTGAATCTGCAAAAACATTTGTGCGGTCACACAAGTAGAAATAGAACAAAATCCATCCGAACTCAGCCCTGCAAAAAGATTGAGACATCATGATTAAGATAAAGACTTCTTCCATTAAACAACAATTAATAGTAAAATACAAAATTAAAAACTCACATTGCCCTTAGAAGTTGCCGATTTTCTAGCAAAAATGACTCCTCCATTGTCAAAAACCTAAACCAAGAAGGTAAACACATCACAGAAGAATTATGAATGATATAAATAAATTAACCTAGGAAAATACCATCAGAAACATTACATATTAGGCTGACCTGATTATGTTTGTTTTAATAGAGGGAGTGGTAAACTTTGTGGATGAAGAATTTGTAAGACCCCCTTCCATCAAAGAAGCTCGATCATCATCCTTGATTGTCTCACTTTCTAGTTCAACCAAATTATTATCTGAGTGGCTGCTACCATGAAAGCAAAGCATAGTGGATAAGCTATAAAAGTATAATTATACATATATGTATATAAGATACATATCAATGTATTCTCCTTCAGTTTCAAAGGGGTTTAAATGAATTTGTTAGGGAATCAAGATACTAACAAGCCTGTAAAATTTCAATTTATGTGGTATAGGAAATAAAAGAGTTGATACAAGAAGGGAAATGTGCTCACACTTTGGAAAGGGATGATGACCTCTTATACTCCAACCATTCGGAGTATATCCATGCCACAACGACTGGAATGACCCCAAGCAAGAACGATACCTACGAATCATAAGTGAAGAATTTCATTCAACATGAAGTGCAACCACAGATTTTAAGGTATAGTAATTCTAATAATTAACACTTAACAGAGACAAGAAATGCTAGTCATAAAGCGAAAGCCTAGAAATGTCACTGATACCACCACTAGCATGTTTCTACTGGATTAGATAAATAAACCAAAAGCATATCATATTTAAACAATTATGTGAGTTCACTTCCTGACTTCCACAATGCTCGAACTTGAAACTGAAAGTTTGATCAAACACAAAACAACAAGATATTTATCTTAAATACCAAAATACTGAATCTACAACGATTCAAAGGTTGATCAATACTGATAAAGATGATCCTACATTTAAATCCAGCAACTAATAGCCAAAAACTCTTCTCACACAACATCAGATCACATGCTTTATCATCTGCTGACTTCGACTATTGAGAATTTTCTCTATCACTTCCATATATGAACTCTTTCTGTCCACCTAAAATACTTAAATTTTTATCGATAAAACAAGTAACCGAGTTCCAACACCAGATCCCCACATCCACTATGCCCGTATGTAACTGATGGCCAAGAAAAAAA